TCTGGGAAAAGTCCCACAGACACCGGGATCCAACCCAGGGCTGGGATCTGGGAAAAGTCCCACAGACACCAGGATCCAACCTGGTTCTGGGATCTGGGAAAACTCCACCAGACACCAGGATCCAAACCAGGATCCGGGAAAAATCCCACAGACACTGGGATCCAAACCAGGGAAAACTCCCACAGCCACCAGGATCCAACCCAGGATCTGGGAAACTCCCACAGCCACCAGGATCCAAACCAGGGCTGGGCCTGGGAAAATTCCACCAGCCAGGATCCAAACTGGTTCTGGGATCTGGAAAAATCCCACAGCCACCAGGATCCAACCCAGGATCTGGGAAAACTCCCACAGCCACCAGGATCCAACCCAGTGCCAGTCCCAAATTCCAGCCTGGATCATCCCCTCCCTCCCAGCGCTGGCAGATCCCAAATCCCAGCAGGGATGGACCGCAGGCCTTGGATGCTTCCAGCTGGGATTGAGGCGGCCCAGGAAGCCCCAGGAGGACGGGAATTCCCACAGGATTCAGGGGATGAGAGCGGGGAAGGGGCAAAGGGCAACATTCCAAGGGGGAGGGAAGAAGGAACCCGGATTCCGCCCGGACGGGAGACGCGGCGGGTCCGGGGGAAACCCGATGGGTTCGGGGCCTCCCCCCGCAGAATCCCGGGATTCCGGGGCCGTACCTGTATCCCACCCTGCGGGAGAAGTGCAGGCAGGACTCCTTGAGGTGGGACTCGAAGTTGGCCAGCAGGAAGTTGCCGCCGCACTCGGGGCAGACGTGCGGGGGGCGGCTCCGGTGCATGCGCTGGTGAGCGCTGAAGCTGCAGCGGTTGGACATGATCATGGGGCACGTGGAGCACACCTGGGACACGGGGGGATGCACGGGGTCAGCCCGCCCGGAACGGCGCCGTTTGCCAGGGGTTACAGCCGTCTCCCACCATATCCCACCATATCCCACCATATCCCACCATATCCCACCATATCCCACCATCTCCCACCATCTCCCACCATCTCCCACCATCTCCCACCATATCCCACCATCTCCCACCATCTCCCACCATCTCCCACCATCTCCCACCATCTCCCACCATATCCCACCATATCCCACCATATCC